CACACGAGACGTTACTTGACCGGATAGGTCAGGTCGCTAATTAACCAATCAAAATGTTGGATGGTGCCCACGTGTTCAAATTACCTTAGTCATTTAAATATGTTAATGACAGGTCACCGACTTCATGGTGAACGAAACACGGAAGTGATTTATCGATAATGTAGTGCGATCTTTTGGCTTTGATTTCCATGGGAAAACAATATGAATTTTTTTTAAATCAAGAAATTAGTTGTTTTCGAAAGATAAACTGAGCATTGAAAATGAATTTAACAGTTTTTCGGTGATAACAGCTCATTGTCGAAAACTTGCGACACACGAACGTATTCATTAGGAAAAGTTGTCGCAAAACAAAAGCAGTTTCACTGCGTGTTTGACATCCTAACACTACTGAACAATAAAGAGGTGTGAATATTTTTAGGCACGTTGTCGAAACAAATGAATAGTATTAGGAACAATGTACTAGCTGGTTGAAACAAAGTCAGTCACGGTCTTGTTGAATTGGGGGTGTGGTTAGTAATAGGTACTTTTCATGTTTTCAATTTTTGTTGAGAACTCTTTAACACTGAAGCCGAAATCAGGGGTGCGGTTACTATTAGGTATGCGGTTTATAATAGGATTTTAACGGTAGTTTACGACAATTGCTGTGCATTCGCACGATATTCATGGCGGTCAATATCCATTCTCTGTTATATAAATTTGATTGCCATTAATTCCGAAAAAGTCATACAATGCTCAAAGACCAGGTTTTATGACTAGACCTTCAAATTTGGAGCATTTTGGAAGGGATGGGCACCGAACATGAACTCAACATCAGAAAAGTTGGGGGTGGGCGCTTAGTTAACAAAGCCTCAACATCAAAGCCTCTTAACTCAGGGAGTGTCTGTTGTTTTCAAAATTAGAAGGGCAGTGTTGAATACATATTCTGCAGCTAATTTTTCTATTACTCATCCATAATCTTAACATTTGATGGTGTATATATTGGTCAGGGGTTGGTATCTCACAGATTTTCAAATTGCAAATGCAATGTTCAACACTTGAAAAATGAACAACCGGTTTTGAGTTTAGACTCATCTTTATCTTATCATGATCATTTTTATTTCAGCTGCTGGGGGGCTCCCTGTCCCACCAAGTAATTTACCTACACAGCCACCTTCCAATCAAATTATACCTCCTGGATCACATGCACCTCCAACAACCCCTCAAGATCCTGGTATTTCTCATGGTGTAATGCCAGGCCCAGCACCACAGAAGGTACCTCCACCAGTACAACCAACAGTACCTACCACTGTCCAAGGTAAGCAAGAATGAATGAATGTGAGAATAAATTTGCAATTCTTATAGATCAATAAATCAGCTGACAACAATTTAAGTTATGATTGTTTATTAATTTCCATATTTTCTCTATTAAAAGTGCATATTCAATAAGGAGCACATAAACCTATAGAACCCATCAACCCAAACAATACCAAATCCTTCAGACCATGCAACCAACCTGTCCAATTAACCAAATAGCCAATCCTTCAGACCACACAACCAACCTGTCCCATTAACCCAAACAATACTCAATCTTTCAGACCACACAACCAACCTGTCCCATTAACCCAAACAATACCTGATCCTTCAGACCAGACAACCAACTTATCCCTTTAACCCAAACAATACTAAAT